TCGAGTTTCTTCACGTGCATGGCCGGGAGTGGGTTCCATGCAGGGGCCGCGTACTCAGTGACTGACCTGACCAAGGTCAGTCACTGAGGTCAAATTCCCGATCGCTGTTTTGAGGTTTGTTAATCTTCTGTATGAGGCTGACGTCATACGGATTATGTGTAATTCTTGGGCTGTGTTTGGCGTTATATTCTCCCCAGGTTATTTTTCACTCGTGATACTTGTAGTTTCACTCCGTTCTTGCTGTACTTTGTGCCCGATCTTTCCTCTAATTCGCATGACCTCGCAGTGGTTTAAATTGAACTCCAGAAACCACATCGGCAGTTTTTGTAACCTCTCGCTGGAGCTGATCACTATCCTCTCATGTTTCTCATTTTTCTCATTAGTTTCGCATGAGACTCTCGTAGCTCGATTGGTAGCGCACTCATTTCTCACACTGAGGTCCGTGGTTCGGTCCCCGGTACGGGTGGAAACATTAGGACTTGTTTCCTAAGACACCTGCTGTCCATGTTCACCTAGCAGTAAAATAGGTACCTGGGTGTTAGTCGACTGGTGTGGGTTGCATCTTGGGGACAAAATTGACCTGATTTGCCCGAAATGCTCTGCATAACAAGGGACTTTTTATATAGTAGTATGTCATTGGTGTCAGCTATGGTGAGGTATAAGTTGCATCATGTACTTGTGAAAATAAATATTATTGTTCCTTCTGGTAGGTCATTGTTGTGGGACAAACGTGGGACCCACTCTTTTCTCTCTCCCATTCTGATGCCTCTTCCATTACTGTTACTTTCTGTCTTCTTTCTGGAAACGTTTCGCCAACCAGTGGCTTCCTCAGTCTCGTACAGAGAAGACTGGGTGAAGATCAGAAAGGGTTTGAGGTAATCAATCCCTTATCCTGCGGTTGATGTAATCAGTCCATCAATCTTGATAAGATGAACTGATTACATCGACCCCAGGGTGAGGGACTGATTACCTCAACCATTCTTCTCTGCGTGGGACTAAGGAAGCCACTGGCTGGCGAAACGTTTCCACAATAAAGATACCCAGGCGTTGCACAAGTGTCTAATTTATCATTCTGTCGGTTTTTTGAACCAGTTATCTACTTCGTCTTCTCTCCCGTTCTGATGCCTCTTCCATTACTGTTACTCTATCTTCTCTCTCTCCCATTCTGATGCTTCGTCCATTACTGTTATTCTGTCTCCTCTCTCTCTCTCCCATTCTGATGCTTCGTCCATTACTGTTATTCTATCTTCTCTCTCTTCCCATTCTGATGCTTCGTCTATTACTGTTATTCTATCTTCTCTCTCTCCCATTCTGATGCTTCGTCCATTACTGTTATTCTGTCTTCTCTCTCTCTCCCATTCTGATGCCTCGTCCATTACTGTTATTATGTCTCCTCTCTCTCTCCCATTCTGATGCTTCGTTCATTACTGTTATGCTGTCTTCTCTCTCTCACATTTCCCTTGATCCACTGGTACATTTTACATTTTAACTCTGCCTGTTCTTCTATTTTCTTAAATGATCTCTGGTATGGCACTGCAACAATACTTTCCTGCAACAAGTTGATGCAATACGTCTAACCCTGATTCTTTTTTATTTCGTTTCTGTGTCTGAACTCCAGGGACCAAGACTGTTCAACACCTTCTATCTTGAAGAGGGAACTTAGTTTCTCGAGTCCCCTGATCAGCCAGGCTGTTGTGCTTATGGTGGACTGCATATAACCAGCAGCAACAGCCTGATTAATGGAGCCGTCAAACGGGAAGCCTAGTCTGGGACCAGGCCGAGGGGTCAGTGACCCCCGGAACTGTGTACAGGTAGTTCCCCCCCCCCGAATATAATACGAGCTGTCCCCCCCTCCATCCCTTCCTCCTTCCTAAAGCAACAGGTGGTAGGGGAAAACAAGACAGGTGTGTAACGGTGTGTTCCACAACACATGTAGCAGCTGCTAATGTGCACTTCACCACACACACACACCACACACACCACACCACACACACACACACACACACACACACACACACACACACACGCGCGCGCGCACGGACGCACGCACGCACGCACGCACGCACGCACGCACGCCCTTAGAGTTGTCAGGAAGTGGAACAATCAGTAAAGTTACGATACGACTCATGGAGCAGAGAGAGAGAGGAGAGAGAGAGAGAGAGAGAGAGAGAGAGAGAGAGAGAGAGAGAGAGAGAGGGGACTTAGTAGCGAGTAGCGAAGAGGCGGGACCAGGAGCTATGACTGGACCCTTACCACCACACAGGTAAACACACACACACACACACACACACACACACACACACACACACATACATACATACACACATTACACACACATACACAAATACACACAAGACTGGGAAAGTCATTATGATTCCCCATATATAAAAAAAAAACAGGAACAGAGAAGAAACAGGTAGCAGTCCAGTATCTGTTACATACCTGACATCTACATCTTACTACCACCATCCATACACCTTACCACTACCACATACCACTACCTACCCTACCCTGTATACCACTACCACTTATACCACTACCACCTATACCACTACCACTATACCACTACCACCTATACCACTACCACCTATACCACTACCACCTATACCACTGCCACCTATACCACTACCACTTACTACCACCACCACCTACTACCACCACCACCTATACCACCATCACCTATACCACCATCACTTATACCACCATTTATACCCCTACTACCACCACCACCTATACCACCATCACTTATACCACCATTTATACCCCTACTACCACCACCACCTACTACCACCACCACCACCGCCGCTAACGTTTGCATACTTCGCACGGAAGTGGTCAACTTCCGGCCAATTCCTTTCCTTACCGCTATTTTGTTCAAACGAGTTTAAAATTCCATCACTAAGGAGATTTAATACACACAGATAATATCTACAACTTAAATTCATCAACTTGTCTTTTTTCAAGACCATTTTTATTATACTCTCATCCTGTGTTATACTGGTGTGGGTGTTGGGGAGGACACGTTTGCCATCCTGTTTTATACAGGTGTCGAGAGGACAGTATGCCAGAGCTCCTGTTCACCTCCCTACAGATCACTTCACACCACTTACATATACCCCCACTTAATTACCACTTTGTTTCAGGGGAAATACCCAGTGGATAAACTGACACACAGACCATACCCCCGGCCGGGATTGAACCCGCGGTCATAGAGTCTCAAAACTCCAGCCCGTCGCGTATGGTTTGTTTGCAATCGTGTCATTACGATTTCTTGAGTCGTGACACACGGATATATGCAGTAATCGCAAATGAGCGATAAAAGATACAAAAATAACCACAGGGAGGTTGTGTCCTAGAAGTATCACAACTTCTTATTCTTCCTCTCATGGTCCCGTCCTCCTCGCCTATATATACTAACTCCCTCACTTTTTTGTTGCCGGGTCACCACATGGAGAAGACCCGGGCCAGGACCAGTCCTGGCAAACCTACCTCTTTTGTGTCTTTGTGACTTTGTAAATGGTCCAGGTCAGACCGAAACGTCGTTGTAAGTTTCTCTCTATGTGCGGGTTATTTGTGTAATGTTACAGTCACGGTATTGTGCCTTTTTGGTATCTAATCCTTTTATTTATCTCTCCCCTGTGGTTATTTTGCTGGATTGGAGAAATATGTACTTGCCTATTTGTGGTTGCAAGGGTCGATTCACAGCTCCTGGCCCCATATACAAGAATGAAAAAGGCTGTTTATATGGAAGGTCTACAAAAAAAAAAGTCTTGGGTATATGTAGGTAATATAAGACTGCTTAGTGAAAAATATTGACTTTTCCGAAAGATAAAAGCACTAAGCTTGATCAGATGACCAAAAGCTCCATCTGTGGGTCATCATATGGCCAAGACCCGCGTCAGGAAACACCCTGTTTCCTAACAAACCTTACCTTACCTTACCTAGGGGACATTATTAATGGGAAACGAGGAAAAAGAAAGACTCATCACTGTCTCTTTACAGTCTAGTAAGATTTTCTTTGTAGTTAGCGTTTTCTAGGTTAAGGTTATTACATATGACTGCTCAGTGAACTAGTGCCAGTTGATGCTCACTTCCTGTACAAGTGTTGTAAATGATTACTCTGCTTAAGAGTGTAAAAAATCAACCTTTCCTTCAGTAGAGTCATAATAACTCTACTCAGGATGAATGAGGAGTCTACTTTATTCCTGCTATTATAAGTTTAACACTTATAATATGATTATAATATATATATATATATATATATATATATATATATATATTATATATATATATATATATATATATATATATATATATATATATATATATATATATATATCGAAATATGTAAAAATGTCATATTACAATGAATCATTTTAAAATTAAGTCCTTGTCTTAAAATTTCTCTTAGCTTTAAAGAATATTTTTCCATTAGGTAAATGTAAAAATTATAATTTGATGAAAAGAATTTGCAAAACTTAACCTATACAAATATTATTTAACTGAATAATTTTTTTTTAGTTATGTAACAATCTAAATATATTTTAGATTGGTTTACAATAATTAATATTCTCAAATAAGTTTAATATATTTTATTTTCGTTATGGTTCAAAGATTTTGGCGAAAATTAATTGAAAAAATATTTCTTGTACCGTATATGGCAAATTAGCAGTGCTTAATTTAAGCCAAGATCGCAAGTTTCTGCCTATTCGGCACGACATATATATATATATATATATATATATATATATATATATATATATATATATTATATATATATATATATATCCGTCCAGTATCCTTGCCTGATGGTGTACAGGCAACATTCAGCCTTAATGACTAGTACCAGTGTTTACAAATATCCAGGCAAAAATAATATTAAGTGTGGTCTACAAATCTGTTATAGATTCCCGGGGGTTAATGGCCCCTGCTGTCCGGTCTCAGACCAGGCTTTCTGGTTGATGACTCGATCAGCTAATGAGATTGATTTTATTTTTCAGATGACTACACTCGCGTGGTGCTGAGTAGCTTCCCTGGCGTGCCAGGTAGTGACTACATCAATGCTAACTACATCAGAGGGGCCAGCGGCTCCCGGGCCTACATCGGCTCTCAGGTGAGAGAGAGAAGAGAGAGAAGAGAGAGAGAGAGAGAGAGAGAGAGAGAGAGAGAGAGAGAGAGAGAGAGAGAGAGAGAGAGAGAGAGACAGACAGACAGACAGACAGATTGAGATTTAGATTTCAAGCCATAACTTAATGAAATTGAAAGGAACCCAAAATATTTCTTTTCTCATGCCAAATCTAGGGCAGAAACCACATCCAGTATTGGTTCCTCGTTTAAAAGAGCTGAGACACACACAGATGACAACAAAGAAATGAGCGAGATACTCAAATCTCAATATGACTCAGTGTTTAGTCACGATAACTCCAAACACACACTCCCTTCCTATACTTGTCGGCCCTGTTAGTCATCCAACAGTATTTATCTGGATGCACTCTGCTCGCTTACTGGAGACATATTTGGAAGATTTTCTCTGAGCATGCAAAGAATGACCCTCGGATATTGAATGTGAGTGGTCTTTGATAGCAGAAATTGAAAAGAGTTAATGGGATGGGTGACTGTGTGTGAGAGAGGGAGGGAGAATGGATAACAAGGTGGTGATGAGTCTTGAATAGTAATGAAGCTATGTGAATCAGTGTGTATGCTTTTTTTAAATGTCAAAGTTAGTTGTATTGTGTGGCTGCCTTGCCTGTGGTATGCCTGTCACCGGTCTGCCTGCCTACCTACCTGGAGGATGCTCCGGGGGTCATTGCCCTTGTAGCCAAGTCCTTGACCAAGCCTCCCGATGGATTAGGGCCTGACCCCTTTCCCCGCAACCCGGCTTGAAGCCACTTAGTCAGCCAGGCTATTTGTGCTGGTGGCTGGCAGGCCCACGTAACCCAGTTGATCCGGCTTCTTGTAGCAGGAATCTGACCATCTTGTTATCGAACACCTTTTGTCTCTGACATCTGAATTACAGATTAGAGGATTTGGATAAGTTTTGGACGTGGGACCCAAGTCATTCCCATTCATCCGCCTGGATTATCACGCATTATTAATGTGAGTTTTGTGTTCGCAGGGACCGCTGCCCCACACGGTGCCAGACTTCTGGAGGATGGTGGTGGAGTGTGAGGTTCAGGTCATTATTATGGCATCCAACGAGACGGAAGGTGGCAAAGTGAGTTACCCTTTTATTACCTCGTCTTAAGAGGCACGCAAGTTCCCCTCATCTTCTAATAACATGTTCATTTTTCCACTATAATCTATCGTGTCCATAATTATTATTGCATTTGCTTTGTTTCATAAGGTGAAGCAAAGGATCTTACCTTAATTCATGGTATAACTTAACTACATTCTTGTGTTCCTACGAGCCTTTCGCCATCCTCAGGATGCCCTCTTCAAGGAAAAGTCTAAGTTTATTCAGGTATAGGTATACATAAATACAGTTACATAAATTATCATACATAGCAGCATATATGTAGATTACCCAGGATAACTCAAAAAAATATCAAAGTTACATTATGTGAGATACGAGAGAGTCACACTCAACAACTGATAATATCATCTATAGTTCTACAAGTACATGTACAAGGTATACAAACCATAGCTGACATCAGTGACATAATACTGTATAGAAAGCCACTTGTTAAGCAGAGCAATTCCCGCAAATTAGGTCAATTTTGTCCCAGGATGCGACCCACACCAGTCCACTAACACCCAGGTACCCATTTTACTGATGGGTGAACATGAACAGCAGGTATTTTATGGAAACACGTCCTAATGTTCAAGACTTTATTCCCTCCTGTTTTGAAATCCCGACTGTTTTTCTTTCAGCACAAGTGTGAGTGTTACTGGGTAAACAGCCAGAACGAGGAGAGGCAGTTTGGTAACGTAACTGTGTCGTTCGTAAAGGCTCGACAGGTGTGTCCAGACTTCATGGTCAGAACTCTCAAGATAAAGTACACATCTGACTCTGGCAAAACGGGTAAATGTGTGGATGCATTTTTTTTACCCTTTTTTTGTAAAACTATGGCTCTTCTTTAATAAAATGATAATACATTATAAGTTTCATTAGAATGATGGTCCATGTTTTGTTAGAATGATGGTCCATGTTTCATTAGAATGATGGTCCATGTTTCATTAGAATGATGGTCCATGTTTCATTAAAATGATCAGCCATGTTTCATTAGAATGATGGTCCATGTTTCATTAGAATGATCATCCATGTTTAATTAGAATGATCATCCATGTTTCATTAGAATGATCATCCATGTTTCATTAGAATGATCATCCATGTTTCATTAAAATGATCAGCCATGTTTCTGTTTGTCATGTTTCATTAGAATGATCATCCATGTTTAATTAGAATGATATCCATGTTTCATTAGAATGATCATCCATGTTTCTTAGAATGATTCTGTTTTTATTTTTTTTTTTTTTTAAATTTCATGTTTCATTAGAATGATGGTCCATGTTTCATTAGAATGATCATCCATGTTTCGTTAGAATGATGATTCATGTTTCATTAGAATGATCATCCATGTTTCGTTAGAATGATGATTCATGTTTCATTAGAATGATGGTCCATGTTTCATTAGAATGATCATCCATGTTTCGTTAGAATGATGATTCATGTTTCATTAGAATGATGGTCCATGTTTCATTAGAATGATGGTCCATGTTTCATTAGAATGATGGTTCATGTTTCATTAGAATGATGGTTCATGTTTCATTAGAATGATGGTTCAAGTTTCATTTGAATGATGGTTCATATTTCACAAGAATGAAACAGTGGCAGCTGGTACTACCCATCACAGAAGTTTTTATTATTATCACACTGGCCGATTCCCACCAAGGCAGGGTGGCCCGAAAAAGAAAAAACTTTCACCATCATTCACTCCATCACTGTCTTGCCAGAAGGGTGCTTTACACAACAGTTTTTAAACTGCAACATTAACACCCCTCCTTCAGAGTGCAGGTGCTGTACTTCCCATCTTCAGGACTCAAGTCCGGCCTGCCAGTTTCCCTGAATACCTTCACAGAAGTAAAGGTGGTAAAACTCTTATTGTAACCTCTGGTTGTATGTTACAGTGCAGGATCTGAAACACACGGGACCTCAGTTCCAATACTCGTCCATTCATCTGTTCCTTTAATATTAATGTATATTCACAGAAAATACTAAACCCCTGAGGGCTGTAAGGCACCTGTGGAATAGGAGTTAATCAAATTTGATACAGTGAAATGTAGCTCCCATTTCTGGATTAAAAAAAAAAAAAGTCCCTTTGTCACCATTAAGATATGTGTCCTTATCTTTGAAAAGATTTTTTCCATGCACTTTATCAATAACACAAAATTCCTTGATGCACTCACAGAAGAATCAACAGTCTTGCAAATAACTTAAATTCTTTGATTCATCCACAGAAGAACGTACAATCTGCCAGTTCCATTATGTGCTGTGGCCTGATCATGGAGTGCCAGAGACCGTACGACCACTGCTGGATATGGTGCGTCTTGTGCGTGACTGTCAGGCCTCAGAGACCTTACCTGTGCTGGTACACTGCTCAGCAGGCTGTGGCAGAACGGGAACCATATGTGCCATTGATTATGTATGGGGGCTCCTCAGAGCAGGGGTAAGTGCTTATTTTGAAAATTGGTTTCTACGCTATTATTATTATTGGTAGTAGTAGTAGTGGTGGTAGTAATAGTAGTAGTGGTGGTGGTAGTAGTAGTAATAGTAGAAGTAGTAGTACAGTATGCGAACCCTCCATTTAATGGACCTCGATTTAACAAACTTCGGAAATACAAGATGTAATCTGCTGTTTGAACTGATTTGGAACCAATGGACAAAGTCCATTTGTTTGAGAATTGACCGTTCTTTTTGTCCGTTATGATTATGGCAAACCATCATCTCAATCTGCCACAATTGTTTTAATGGCTCCGGTTTCCTTCCCTTAGTTTGTTAAATTGAGTACGTACTTTTTTATTACCGTTATTATTTTTTTCAATGCACCGCCTCCCACTGAGGCAGGGTAACATTATTGTTATTATTATTATTTCTATATTAATTTTATTGCTGACATTGTCATTATTATTTTTATTATACAGTATAAAAAATAAGTGCTAAGCCCATTTGGGTCATACAGTACTAAATGGTAAAGAGGGAAGGGAAAAATACCAAGGGGGGTAAAGTCAAAATCTGTGTTTGATTTCCTATAGATTTTTTTTTTTTTTTTGCATTTGCTGTTGTACTACTGGCTGTTGTATATTTCTGTCTGAATATAAAGTAAGGCAGTAGGCAAAGGGTAAAAGAATTAAAGGATTCTCTACTACCTTTTATTTCCATTTCTTCTACTTACATTTTCTCAGCATACTTTGCATGCTTATGAAACCTTTTAAAATTATATTGCCTATTATAACCTCTTCTCTTGTATAAATTACTAAATGTAAACAAGAAGAAAGAAACGTTTCTTCTTTTTCAGGTCACCCTGCCTTGGTGGGAGACAGCCGATGTGTTTAAAAAAAAATTGCCTATTACTATATATCTTTCTAGATACAGTGGACCCTTGACCAACGACATTAATCCATTCTGAGAGCTCATCGTTAATCGAAATTATCGTTAGTCGAGTTAATTTTCCCCATAAGAAATAATGGAAATCAAATTAATCCGTGCAAGACGCCCAAAAGTATTGAAAAAAACAATTTTTACCACATGAAATATTAATTTTAATACACACAAACTGAAGAAGACATGCACAGTTACATGACACTTACCTTTATTGAAGATCTGGTGATGATTGATGGGATGGGAGGAGGGGAGAGTGTTGATGGTGTTAGTGTTTAGAAGGGGAATCCCCTTCCATTAGGACTTGAGGTGACAAGTCCTTTTTCGAGGTTACTTCCCTTCTTCTTTTAATGCCACTAGGACCAGCTTGAGAGTCACTGGACCTCTGTCGCACAACATATCTGTGCATAGAGGCCTGTACCTCCCGTTCCTTTATGACATTCCTAAAATGTTTCACAACATTGTCAGTGTCACAATTAAACACTTGTTCAGGTTTCAATTCTTCACTGTCTATGTACTCCTTGAATTCCTGCACATTTTTTTCAGCTGCTTTTTGGTCTGAACTGGCAGCCTCACCATGCCTTATCACACTATGTATGCCACTACGATTCTTAAATCTTTCAAACCAGCCTTTGCTGGCCTTAAATTCACTCACATCACCACTAGTTGCTGGCATTTTTCTAATTAAATCCTCATGCAACTTCCTAGCCTTTTCACATATGATCGCTGGAGAAATGCTATCTCCTGCTATCTGTTTTTCATTTATCCACACCAATAACAGTCTCTCAACATCTTCTATCACTTGCGATCTCAGTTTCGAAAACATAGTTGCATCTTTGGCAAGAACAGCTTCCTTGATTGCCGTTTTCTTGGCCACAATAGTAGCGATGGTTGATTGGGGTTTTGTGTACAACCTGGCCAGCTCGGAGACACGCACTCCACTTTCATACTTAGCAATGATCTCTTTCTTCATATCCATAGTAATTCTCACCCTTTTGCTGTAGGGTTGGCACTAGAAGCTTTCTTGGGGCCCATGGTGACTTATTTTGCAGGTGCAATCACTAAAAAGGCTGTGATAATATGAAATGTTCCGATTGTATGCTTGAAAGCAACCGCGGTGGCTGGCTGGCTTGTAAACACTGGCCAGAAGTGGACGCATCTCAGACGGAACGAATAGTGTTGGTCTAGTTTTTTAGCGCTAGTCGAGGCAAAATTTTTGTGTTAAAATGTATCGCTGGTCGGATTTAACGTTAGTCGATGCCATCGTTGGTCGAGGGTCCACTGTGCAATTCAATTAAGGGTATTTTACTATCATTAACACATGACGGTCTAATTATTATTATTATTCCATTCATGAAGTGCTAAACCCATAGGGATGACAGTGAATGGGGAATGAGTGGTAGACGGGTTTGATCTAGGGAAAGGAAGGTAAGGTGAGGGAGGTGTCTTCCAGTTCAGCATTAAAGTCATCGTCCCCCTAAGTTTTTTTCGTCTTCTCAACGTTCCTAAACATTCCCAGAATCTTTTTCTCTTATCACTCCTTTCACTTCCAGTCAAACATATAAATTGTAAATAACCCCTATTGCACATAAAGAATAAAAAGGCACAATACTGTGACTGGAGCAATACACAAATAACTCAGGTTATTTGTGTATTATGTACTTATTACACATCCCAGTTGTTTCTAAACCACTTAATTTTCACATTTATACCCCCTTGTTTGCTGCGCTTTCAAAATTGTCATTATTTAATGCATATTAGTGGGTTTCTTTTGTGCCTAACAATATTTTAATACATGTAAACTACATTACCTTTATACTGCAGAAAATAAATAAATTTAAATAAATTTAGGTAGATGGCGAGAATATTTTGAGGAACTTTTAAATGTTGAGGAAGAAAGGGAGGTGGTAATTTCATGCACTGGTCAGGGAGGTATACCATCTTTTAGGAGTGAAGAAGAGCAGAATGTAAGTGTGGGGGAGGTACGTGAGGCATTACATAGAATGAAAGGGGGTAAAGCAGCTGGAACTGATGGGATCATGACAGAAATGTTAAAAGCAGGGGGAGATAGTGTTGGAGTGGTTGGTACTTTTGTTTAATAAATGTATGAAAGAGGCGAAGGTACCTTGGGATTGACGGAGAGCATGTATAGTCCCTTTATATAAAGGGAAAGGGGACAAAAGAGATTGTAAAAATTATAGAGGAATAAGTTTATTGAGTATACCAGGAAAAGTGTATGGTAGGGTTATAATTGAAAGAATTAGAGGTAAGACAGAATGTAGGATTGCGGATGAGCAAGGAGGTTTCAGAGTGGGTAGGGGATGTGTACATCAAGTGTTTACATTGAAGCATATATGTGAACAGTATTTAGATAAAGGTAGGGAAGTTTTTATTGCATTTATGGATTTAGAAAAGGCATATGATAGTGGATAGGGGAGCAATGTGGCAGATGTTGCAAGTATATGGAATAGGTGGTAAGTTACTAAATGCTGTAAAGAGTTTTTATGAGGATAGTGAGGCTCAGGTTAGGGTGTGTAGAAGAGAGGGAGACTACTTCCCGGTAAAAGTAGGTCTTAGACAGGGATGTGTAATGTCACCATGGTTGTTTAATATATTTATAGATGGGGTTGTAAAAGAAGTAAATGCTAGGGTGTTCGGGAGAGGAGTGGGATTAAATTATGGGGAATCAAATTCAAAATGGGAATTAACACAGTTACTTTTTGCTGATGATACTGTGCTTATGGGAGATTCTAAAGAAAAATTGCAAAGGTTAGTGGATGAGTTTGGGAATGTGTGTAAAGGTAGAAAGTTGAAAGTGAACATAGAAAAGAGTAAGGTGAGGAGGGTATCAAATGATTTAGATAAAGAAAAATTGGATATCAAATTGGGGAGGAGTATGGAAGAAGTAAATGTTTTCAGATACTTGGGAGTTGACTTGTCGGCGGATGGATTTATGAAGGATGAGGTTAATCATAGAATTGATGAGGGAAAAAAGGTGAATGGTGCATTGAGGTATATGTGGAGTCAAAAAACGTTATCTATGGAGGCAAAGAAGGGAATGTATGAAAGTATAGTAGTACCAACACTCTTATATGGGTGTGAAGCTTGGGTGGTAAATGCAGCAGCGAGGAGACGGTTGGAGGCAGTGGAGATGTCCTGTCTAAGGGCAATGTGTGGTGTAAATATTATGCAGAAAATTCGGAGTGTGGAAATTAGGAAAAGGTGTGGAGTTAATAAAGTATTAGTCAGAGGGCAGAAGAGGGGTTGTTGAGGTGGTTTGGTCATTTAGAGAGAATGGATCAAAGTAGAATGACATGGAAAGCATATAAATCTATAGGGGAAGGAAGGCGAGGTAGGGGTCGTCTCGAAAGGGTTGGAGAGAGGGGGTAAAGGAGGTTTTGTGGGCAAGGGGCTTGGACTTCCAGCAAGCGTGCGTGAGCGTGTTAGATAGGAGTGAATGGAGACAAATGGTACTTGGGACCTGACGATCTGTTGGAGTGTGAGCAGGGTAATATTTAGTGAAGGGATTCAGGGAAACCGGTTATTTTCATATAGTCGGACTTGAGTCCTGGAAATGGGAAGTACAATGCCTGCACTTTAAAGGAGGGGTTTGGGATATTGGCAGTTTGGAGGGATATGTTGTGTATCTTTATACGTATATGCTTCTAAACTGTTGTATTCTGAGCACCTCTGCAAAAACAGTGATTATGTGTGAGTGTGGTGAAAGTGTTGAATGATGATGAAAGCATTTTCTTTTTGGGGATTTTCTTTCTTTTTTGGGTCACCCTGCCTCGGTGGGAGACGGCCAACTTGTTGAAAAAAAAAAAAAAAATATTATTATTTAAAATTTTAGTTATGGTTAAGTAGTACAATAATGTAATTTGATTTTCAGAGGTTAACAGAAAACCTGGATCTATTTGGCCTTGTTAAAGACATGCGACGACAAAGAGTGGCTATGGTCCAGACCAGGGAGCAATATATTCTTTTACACAGAGCTGTTCGAGAACTCTTTAAAGAGAGACTAAAAGTGATCGATGCTCATCCGTATGAGAACGTCGCCACTGATGGTACACCGCTCATCCTCCGTGAGAAGGAAAGTGACTATGAAGAGCTCTATGTGAAGCCTGAAAAACAAGGTATTTACCATTAAATATGTTACCACATAGATGGGGTCCTTCTATAGGTACATGTGAATAAAAGGATTTGAAGGAAAAACACTGTGATTTCTCTCTACAACTGTTTTAATATTCTACTTCTTCTGTTACCACCTCTTTTGTGTGTGTGTGTGTACTCGCCTAGTTGTACTCACCTAGTTGAGGTTGTGGGGGTCGAGTCCGAGCTCCTGGCCCTGCCTCTTCACTGATCACTACTAGGTCACTCTCCCTGAGCCGTGAGCTTTATCATACCTCTGCTTAAAGCTATGTATGGATCCTACCTCCACTACATCGCTTCCCAAACTATTCCACTTCCTGACTACTCTGTGGCTGAAGAAATACTTCCTAATATCCCTGTGATTCATCTGTGTCTTCAGCTTCCAACTGTGTCCCCTTGTTACTGTGTCCAATCTCTGGAACATCCTGTCTTTGTCCACCTTGTCAATTCCTCTCAGTATTTTGTATGTCGTTATCATGTCCCCCTATCTCTCCTGTCCTCCAGTGTCGTCAGGTTGATTTCCCTTAACCTCTCCTTGTAGGACATACCTCTTAGCTCTGGGACTAGTCTTGTTGCAAACCTTTGCACTTTCTCTAGTTTCTTTACGTGCTTGGCTAGGTGTGGGTTCCAAACTGGTGCCACATACTCCAATATGGGCCTAACGTACACGGTGTACAGGGTCCTGAATGATTCCTTATTAAGATGTCGGAATGCTGTTCTGAGGTTTGCTAGGCGCCCATATGCTGCAGCAGTTATTTGGTTGATGTGCGCTTCAGGAGATGTGCCTGGTGTTATACTCACCCCAAGATCTTTTTCCTTGAGTGAGGTTTGTAGTCTCTGGCCCCTAGACTGTACTCCGTCTGCGGTCTTCTTTGCCCTTCCCCAATCTTCATGACTTTGCACTTGGTGGGATTGAACTCCAGGAGCCAATTGCTGGACTAGGTCTGCAGCCTGTCCAGATCCCTTTGTAGTTCTGCCTGGTCTTCGATTGAGTGAATTCTTCTCATCAACTTCACGTCATCTGCAAACAGGGACACCTCAGAGTCTATTCCTTCCGTCATGTCGTTCACAAATACCAGAAACAGCACTGGTCCTAGGACTGACCCCTGTGGGACCCCGCTGGTCACAGGTGTCCACTCTGACACCTCGCCACGTACCATGACTCGCTGCTGTCTTCCTGACAAGTATTCCCTGATCCATTGTAGTGCCTTCCCTGTTATCGCTGCTTGGTCCTCCAGTTTTTGCACCAATCTCTTGTGTGGAACTGTGTCAAACGCCTTCTTGCAGTCCAAGAAAATGCAATCCACCCACCCCTCTCTCTTGTCTTACTGCTGTCACCATGTCATAGAACTCCAGTAGGTTTGTGAGACAGGATTTCCCGTCCCTGAAACCATGTTGGCTGCTGTTGATGAGATCGTTGCTTTCTAGGTGTTCCACCACTCTTCTCCTGATAATCTTCTCCATGATTTTGCATACTATACATGTCAGTGACACTGGTCTGTAGTTTAATGCTTCATGTCTGTCTCCTTTTTTAAGGATTGGGACTACATTTGCTGTCTTCCATGCCTCAGGCAATCTCCCTGTTTCGATAGATGTATTGAATATTGTTGTTAGGGGTACACATAGCGCCTCTGCTCCCTCTCTCAATACCCATGGGGAGATGTTATCTGGCCCCATTGCCTTTGAGGTATCTAGCTCACTCAGAAGCCTCTTCACTTCTTCCTCGGTTGTGTGCACTTGTGTTCCAGCACGCAATGGTGGTGTGCCCACTCTCCGTTCTCTGGAGCTACTTCTGTCTCCTCTGTGAACACTTCTTTGTGTGTGTTTTGTGTGTTTGTTGTTTGTTTTGTTATATATGGGAGGTACACTCTGATAATTTTACTGGGACCTCATTCTCAGATGAAGAAATAAATAATAAATAAATTATTATATACAATTTTATTTCATCTAGAGTAACAGGTTTCTGTGTTATTATATTGTTTAATTATGTCATATTAGATGAAATGTGATAGATAAAAGCCTAGAGTTGATATTAGTGTTCATATTCAAGTATTTTGTTCTGGCCTCTGAGGCAGATTCTGCTGGAACGGATTTAATGGCATTTCAAATTAAATTAACGAGGTAAATTGACTCAGCATACTGAGAATCAGGATACGAGAAGTCATTAGAATTGGATACACTCTAAGCAGGTTCCACTGTATTCAATAACATATTTTTATGGATTTAGTGAGATGCCTAGATACTGTTATTTAAGTTTGTCAATAAATATTCGTATTTTCTATTAGTTGGACTTTGAGTCCTGGAAATAAAAAACAATTGCCGCACTTTAAAGGAGGGGTTTGGATATTGGCAGGTTTGGAGGATGTGTTGTGTTCTTTATGCGTATAAGCTTCTACTGTTTTATATCTGACTACCTCTGCAAAAGCAGTTATAATGTGTGAGTGTGATGAAAGTGGAATGATTGATGAAAGAATTTTCTTATTTGGGATTTTGTTTTTTTTTGTGGTCACCCTGCCTCGGTGGGAGAATGGCCGAATTGGTTGAAAAAAAAAAAAAAAAAAAACATATTGAGCACATTACTTCATGTGATAAGGTCTTGACTTTTGAAGATATTTGGTTGGTATGCTTGGAAAGTATCCTACCTGTGACTTCCTTTCAGGAATTCAAGACCACTATTTATATATCTTGTAACAATAAAAAAGCTCTAAAATAAGCTGGTGTAAGTAACAGCTGTTAACTTGTAAATAAAGTTAGGAAACTGAACCTAACCTTGTAAAACCCTGTGTAAAAAAAAAAAAGAGAGAATAGGTTGTTTAACTTATAGGAATAGACAATTGCAAGTTGTTTTTTTTTCAGATGAGGTCCAAACACCGCTCCACAACTAGGCTCCAAGTGCCTGTCTTCACACCAACAGGGTCACTCACACGCTACTCTCACACGCATAGGAAACGCAGTGTGGGAATTCTGAATCTTTTGCTTACATAGTATTCTTATTTCTCGGTATATTTTTCATAAAGTACCAAATATCATCTTGAAACTAAACATTGCAGTCAAATTCTATATAAATGGGAAAAATGCTCATACTTTGCATCTTGTTTTACTAATCAGGCTCTTTTACCAATTTCAAATTATTTAATAATAATAGTTTATAGAAGAAAACTGTAGGTAGTAGGTTGGTAGACAGCAACCGCCCAGGGAGGTACTACCGTCCTGCCAAGTGTGTGTAAAACTGAAGCCTGTAATTGTTTTACATGATGGTAGGATTGTGGTGTCTTTTGTCTGTCTCATAAATATGCAAGATTACAGGCAAGTCTTGCTACTTCTACTTACACTTAGGTCACACTACACATACATGTACAAGCATATATATACACACCCCTTTGGGTTTTCTTCTATTTTCTTTCTAGTTCTTGTTCTTGTTTATTTCCTCTTACCTCCATGGGGAAGTGGAACAGAATTCTTCCTCCGTAAGCCATGCGTGTTGTAAGAGGCGACTAAAATGCCGGGAGCAAGGGGCTAGTAACCTCTTCTCCTGTATATATTACTAAATGCAAAAGGAGAAACTTTCGTTTTTCCTTTTGGGCCACCCCGCCTTGGTGGGATACAGCCAGTGTGTTGAAAGAAAGAAGAAGCGTTTATAGAAGAAAACTGTAGGTAGTAGGTTGGTAGACAGCAGCCATCCAGGGAGATACTACCGTCCTGCCAAGTGAGTGTAAAACTGAAGCCTGTAATTGTTTTACATGATGGTAGGATTGTGGTGTCTTTTGTCTGTCTCATAAATATGCAAGATTACAGGCAAGTCTTGCTACTTCTACTTACACTTAGGTCACACTACACATACATGTACAAGCATATATATACACACCCCTCTGGGTTTTCTTCTATTTTCTTTCTAATTCTTGTTCTTGTTTATTTCCTCTTATCTCCATGGGGAAGTGGAACAGAATTCTTCCTCTGTAAGCCATGCGTGTCGTAAGAGGCGACTAAAATGCCGGGAGCAAGGGGCTAGTAACCCCTTCTCCTGTATATATTACTAAATTTAAAAGGAGAAACTTTAGTTTTTTCTTTTGGGCCACCCTACCTCGGTGGGATACGGCTGGTATGTTGAAAGAAGAAGTTTATAGAAGAAAGTCTGAAATAAAAAACAAAAGTTTAGTAATTTATACAGGAGGAGTTATTTAAATTTCTGCTTCTTTCAACACACTGGCTGTATCCCACCGAGGCGGGGTGGCCCAAAAGGAAAAACTAAAGTTTCTCCTTTTACATTTAGTAATATATACAGGAGAAGGGGTTACTAGCCCCTTGCTCCTGGCATTTTAGTCGCCTCTTACAACACGCATGGCTTACGGAGGAAGAATTCTGTTTCACTTCCCCATGGAGGTAAGAGGAAATAAACAAGAACAAGAACTAGAAAGAAAATAGAAGAAAACCCAAAGGGGTGTGTATATATATGCTTGTTCATGTATGTGTAGTGTGACCTAAGTGTAAGTAGAAGTAGCAAGACGTACCTGAAATCTTGCATGTGTATGAGACAGAAAAAAAAAAAAAAGGCACCAGCAATCCTACCATCATGTAAAACAATTACAGGCTTCAGTTTTACACTCACTTGGCAGGACGGTAGTACCTCCCTGAGCGGTTGCTGTCTACCAACCTACTACCTAGTTTATTTAATTTTTTTTTTTTTTTTTTTCAACAAGTCGGTCGTCTCCCACCGAGGCAGGGTGACCCAAAAAAGAAAGAAAATCCCCAAAAAGAAAATACTTTCATCATCATTCAACACTTTCACCACACTCACACATTATCACTGCTTTTGCAGAGGTGCTCAGAATACAACAGTTTAGAAGCATATACGTATAAAGATACACAACATATCCCTCCAAACTGCCAATATCCCCAAACCCCTCTTTAAAGTGCAGGCATTGTACTTCCCATTTCAGGACTCAAGTCGACTATATGAAAAACGGTTTCCCTGAATCCCTTCACA